GGACTCATAGGATAACAAGTCAAAAGTCAAAAACAGCAGCTGTAGAAACGACCAGTGTGCATGAGGACTGTGTGCTCTGAGCATTGCCAACACTTATCTGTTCTGAAGATACTAGAATTGCCAGACCAAGTAATTACAGGTTTCTTTTTATTCTCTAACCTGCAAGGAAAATGAGAGCAGATTTTATGGGTAAATACTGTATCTTTCTTTCAACTGTTTTTAAGCTTCACTTGAATTACTAAGCTTTACCTAATGCTGTTCTGTCACTTGGACACAGCTAGCACTTGAATTTGTCCTGATAGATATCAGCCTGCTGTAATTGTCTGCACAGCACAGAGGAAGCGCCAGCACCAGCAACCATCAGGATCTGCAGCAGTGCTCAGGTGTTGCAGCTAAACAAGATGTCAGGTGGAATGAGCAGGAGGATGACCTCAGCAGTGTAAAGCCACTCTTTTATTGTCCTGAAATATGGGGTGTGCTCCAAGCTGGCGGTGCTGTAGAGGTTGAGGAACTGTGGCACTGCTTGCCTGGATGTAAGCATTAGGGTAGCCATACATTATACAATTTTCTTGAGATTTTTGCCTTAGATTTACCAAAAACCATATAATATGAGGTCAAGCCTAAACAACACTTTTAATTCTATCCAATTAAGCAGGCCCTTGCACTACATAGTTGAAGGTAAAGTTAAAGGAAATTGGGCAAAAAATTGGACAGAAATTTTTAAGAAAATTGTATAGTGTATGGCCAGCCTTATGTAGGCCATAGACGGCACGAAAAACGGGCATTTTGTTCGTCCAATAAACGAAACATCGGTCGTTCATTAAACCGACGTAACCACCAATTATTATGAAAATCGGCCAACCAAATCATAAAAATCCTGCCATATAACAGGAAATGATGTCATTTTTCAGGTCATATTTTTTTCGTAAAAATGATCATACGATTTGGCCATCATTGCCGCAAAAATCGGTCGTTTTCCACGAATTTTCCAACATGACCGATAATCCAAAAGTGCAAAAAACCCAAAAACCGGCCGAACGAATTAACCCACTAAAAATCGGCCGATTTTCAAACCGTCTATAGCCTGCATAAGTCCTCATGCACACTGGACATTTTTACAGCGGCTGTTTTTGGCTTTTGACATTTTTTTCTACAGCTCGTAAACCCCCCAGCATGTTATCCTATGTGTCCATACACACATAGACTGGAATCAATGTCTATCGGCTGGAAAATAAAACCCAGGACTAGTGGGTTTCTAGAGGAGTTTTTTAGCTGTAAAAACGCTCTAACGTGGCAAAACGGGGTGTAAAACACCGCAAACCAGCGTTTTTGGACTTTTTTGAAATGGGTTTTTTTTTTTAATATTAAAAAAAAGACAAAAAACACGGGAAAAGGCCGCTAAACGCCAATGCAAAAGTGCTGAAAAAAGCCAAAAAACTCACGTTTTTAACGTGACTTTACACAGCTAATGTTAGCAGTGTTATTAAAACGTACAGTGTGCATGAGGGCTTAAAGTGGAAGAAAAGCCTTACCATAATGATTCTTAAAGACACTTCCTTCCCCCTCCTCCTACCTATCCTGCATACCTTATATAAAAAAAAGTGTGTACACTTACCTATTTTTAATCCACCCCAGTCATGTGATCCAGCAGCTTCGGATCTTTATGTCAGTGAGGAGCTGCTGCAGGGGAGATGAGGGAGCACTGACAATGGCTTGGCCATGGGAGCCTATGGGTGACATCACAGCTCTTGGAATTTGTTAAGCACTCCCTGGAAGCCGGAGCTGCAGGATCACATGACCTGGCGAGAAGGAGGAAGGGGGAAGGGAACACTTTTAAGAATAGTTATTGTTGGGCTTTACTACCTCTTTAAAAAGTATCACCAGAAATTCAAAATCCTTCTCAGGATAGGGACAGGGATTGTGCGGGCTTTCCGGTGTGCAGTGTCTGCCATGGCCCCTCTCCTCCCGCACTGTCAGTAAGAACTACTTTAATATCCGTTTCCAGTGGAGGGAGGAGAGGGGCACTGTCAACCACGCTAACTCAACAATCACTGCAGATTTGAACAGAACCGAAGGCTATGTCCCCTGGGGGATTCAGGAAGTATTTTACAATTCAGGTGAAACTTCCTTAATGCTAGCTATGGACATTAGACAGCAAGTAATTGTTTACAGTTCATGCTACTCTAACAGTTATTTCTAAATGAACTTTCCATTAAACCTTCACATGTACCTAGTGCAGTGACTAGTCTCAGGTGATACACGGTGATGAAGCAATTCTTCCTACATAAATACTTTTCTTCACAGCCTTTCAAAGTACAGAATTTATATAGCTTGTCTGAGCTTTCAGAAATCATGGGGCAGGGATCTGAAGTTACACTCTGCAGAGCTCAGTGAGGGGAGCTCTGAGAGCTGACTGGAGGAAAGGGACACACCCCCTTAAGGCTAGGTTCACATCTATGCAGGTTGTGTTTGAGCCGTTTCTGCATTGCATTTTGCATTGTGTTTTTGCACTTGCGGTTTTTACTGCGTTTTTGATGCTTTGGGCTTTTTTAATATTTTTTAATTTTTCTTGTTGCTAGGCAGATTTAAAATGCAAAATGCAAAACGTAGCAAAAACACAATACATGCTTTTCTGCAGTGTTTCCATTGAAGTCTACAGAACCAAAAACACTACTTTTTGCATTCAAAAAAGTCCCTGATCCTTTCCAAAAATGCACCGGGTGAAACCGCACAGGTGTGAACATGTCCCATAGGAATGTACTGCGTTTCTGCAAAATGCTGCAGAAAACGCTTGGGTTTGAACCTAGGGTTACACAGCAAACAAAGACAGAATTAAGGCTGTCAATCACAGACTGTGTGCTGGAGCTCCCTCCTCTGTCACCTTTTTGTCTCTTGGTGTCAGGAAGACTTGTCAAAAGTGACGTATGCCTATAGCAGAGGAACAGAGCAGTGGAGGGAAATGACTCTTAGTTCTCTAGATTGAGACAAGTACACAGTAAAGAGGGATATGCTTTGTTCATATTTCATGTCAGAGGTTTATGACCACTTTAATATTCGCAAACAGATAATCCAAATGTGTAAAAGTCCGTAAAGGGGGGAAATGGGAGACAAGCCAAGAACCCTAGCTCCAGTTGGGGGAAAACAAAAGTAACTGCCTGAAAAAAAAATGTAACTAACAGTTCCCTCGAAAATAAGTCAGCTGGGGATTTCTGCTGATTTCTGTTACCTACTGACATAGCATTTGCCCCCAAGCAACCAATATCAGAGCATTATAAATTCCATAACTATGGGTGCAGCAACAGTAGCTGTTCATTATGTCCATCTGTTGCCCAGCTAAGGCTTGCAGGTAAGTTATGCAGAATATGTGATATGTTGACCTGTGATGCTGCTATAACAGTTTCTATGAGGCAGCTAATCCTCCCAAATGCTGACAAATTACTGCCCCAGGCCATTTAAAATCACATTTCTAATACAGTAATCCTATCTGTATTACAATGAGTCCGGGAGAAATGATCAGGCGCTGGAAATGTTTGCACAGTGTATCAAGGCTCAGCACTTGCTGGCCGGTGTTATTCACAAAAGTCTGGGTGGAAATAAATGCAGCGGCATTGTTATTTCCATTCTGGAGCTTACAGACTCCCTCTCTTGGCCGCTGCTGCTGTTTGGGTGATGTTATTCCACAATGCCTAATGAAAAACAATAATGTGATCATCCATTCTAGAATATCAGCTCCTGCAGGTGTTGGGAGAAATTATACAGAATTAATCTAGGCAAACACAGTCAAGCAAAACATATCGTTATTAAAATGTAACAAAAGGAATTCAATTTCCTTATTGTGCATTTTCCCACCGGCCTCCCATCCTCCAAAAATAGAGGACCGGGGAAAAAAAAACACAGTTCATGGAATGGGCAAATTTTGCTTTCTGTATTTTAAGAAGCAGAATCAAATATTTGGTGTGCATTGCAATAATGATGATGTATCTGATTTTAAATTAGGATTATATATTTATAACTCAAACATACACCCATGCTGATAGAGGAATACAGAAAACGTAAAAGAAAAATGCAAGAATATAGAATGTTATTTTGTTGTAATATATGACTAATCCTTTATAGCAGAAACATTTTTTCCGAGGCTGGAGAAGCTCTTATCTTGCCGGGTCCTGGTGACTATATACTGTACATTTTGCCTGGAGGATGCTTTGGGTACCTCGAATGGTTAGGATTCTTCTTGGAGGCCCGTGGGGTTCTAGTTTCAGCTATATGTATACTTGAACTGCAATTTGCAACTACTTATGTCTCATATTGCCCAACTGATGCCCCAACATATATGGACGCATTTACAGGCTGAACCTTTTAATCCTTTTGCTGCCAAGCTTGCAGAATTGCTAAAACGCGCATTAAACATAATTCATATTAAATACACTTTAAAAACAAAAAAAGTTGTATATTTTCTGAAAGCAGAGGACCCATAGAATAAAATGACGGTAATTGCATTTTTTTTCATGTAACACCGTTTTAGTGCAACTGTTTATTAACCTCCCTGGCGGTATGATTATTTCCGATTTTTGGTGCTGAAAGCGGTACCATTATTTTGCATGGAAATATGTAGTTTTTTTATTGTAGGCTGTAATTTTTAGGAATAACTCACTGAAATCTGCCCGAACAAGAGTCTATTAAACATCCCGGGTAGGATAAAATTTGAAACACAAAATCATAAATTATAATTTAATAATCATAAAAAATAATAATATAATAATAATACATTTATTTCAATAATATAATCAAACCAAAAACACTGAAATTTGAAATATAGCGCCAAGTTCACACATCACTGAGCAAAGTCGCAAAATCGTTTTCAGTGTCTGATGATGAATTTCCCCACGAATCATTATCACTCAATTCTACAAGTAGTTCTGATTTACTATCGCTGATCTAAAACCGCTTTTGACCTAAAGGGACACTTTTTGGACGCCATGGACTTTTCTAAGTTTCCAGGCAGAAAGAACAGTCAAAATGCAGACAGGGGACAGGACAAAGCACTAGGGACAAAATGTATGTGAAATGGGTTGAAACAGCAATGTTTTACTATGTAAAATCGTTTTGAAAAAAATTTAATTTTTTTTAAATTTTCAAATTTCACGCCGCCCATACGTCCCGACGTCACAGGGACCGGAACACAGGAGCCGGATGCCGGCATCAGGCGGAGGAGATGGCCGGGGACGTTGCAGGGGACACATCGCGGGAGCGAAGGACAAGGTAAGTGCTGCAGGGACTCCCTATGCAGCGCTGCATGGTATTCCCGAGTGTAGCTCGGGGTTACCGCTTTTGGTATAGACATTTTACCCCGAGCTACACTCGGGAATACCGTTAGGGAGGTTAAATCCAAATTTTCAGTCAAAAATAAACTCCCCTTAATTTTAGTGCACACAAACACAATAAGTCTCTGAATTTCCTATAAAATATAAAGGATAAAACTGAGTCCAGTAAATAGATTCCAAATATTTGCAGCAAAACGACAACATACCCACATTTTTTCATAGTTGCTTTGAAAACCTTTAACCACTTCCAGTCCGGACACTTTTACCCCCTTCCTGCCCAGGCCAATTTTCAGCTTTCAGTGCTATCACACTTTGAATGACAATTGCGCGGTCATGCAACACTGTACCCATATGAATTTTTTAGCATATTTTTGAGACAGATAAAGCTTTATTTTGGTGGTATTTATACACCACTGGGATTTTTATTTTTTTTGCTATGTAAATTAAAATGTCCAAACATTTTGAAAAAAAAGTGTTTTTCTTACAAAATTTTGCAAATAAATAGTATTTCATCATAAATCTTGGCCAAAATTTATTCCGTTATATTTTTAGTAAAAAAAAAAAAAAAAAAAAAAACCCAAATTAGTTTATAAGCAAAAATTATAATTTTTAAACATTTTTTTTTTACATTTTTTTATTTTTTTATACTATTTTTTATTTATTATTTTCCTTTTTACATACTGTCACCCTAGCAGTACAGTGTCACCATGGTGACACTGTACTACTTGTGGGGGGTGATGAATATATATATATTTTTTTACACTGATTGCTTTTACACCCATAAAGGATGTAAAAGCAATCATTTCTCCTTCTCTCTAGCTGCATTCTTGAAGCCATTGAGAACTACTGAGTGAGCTGTGATTGGTCACAGCTTGTCACATGGCACAAGGCTGTTGTGAATAGCCTTGTACCATGTGACCTCTGTGATCATTCACAGATTTCACATGTAGTAAGCAATGATGTCACACTGATTGGCCAATCAGTGATCATATGATCGGGACCTCGTATAGAGGTCCCGTCCAACGATCAGTGTTCCACTGTGTCCGGAGGACACAGCGGGCACCGGATCACGGTGCTGCGTGCTGCCAGGGAGCGTGCACAAGCATGGTGTGGGGAGGCCATTTATAAATGGCCACCCGACCCTGCACTGCCACGATCCGGCCGGGAAGTGGTTAAAGCTCATCATTTTGGACATAAATATTATTGATGTTCCTAGAATTAATCCTAGAATTACTCCTCCAGTATATGCAGCGACACCTGATATGAGCTGTGTAAATGGTATTTAAGTATCTCTGTTCACCATATGAGGGCATTTGTGTTCGTATTTGCGTCTGTTGGGACTGAGAGCTTTAAATTCTGGGTTTTTTACATTCATTTGAATATATTTTCATTTTCTTTTTTTCACCCAACTTTATTGCTATCACAAGGGGGCTGACAAGCCTCCTCTGTGATAGCATATATGGAGTGAAAGACTCTCTTTACAGTGGAATCAGGAGGTTTCTTGGACCCCTAATGTCTCCTCTGCAATCCCCCAAACAGACTGAGTACAGACAGTACTCAACTGGCTGTTTTCCCTGCCATATTAGCCAGGACCTCACAGCTTTGCACCCGGAGGTACTTAGAGCTGGAGCTTCTGAGGTCATTGCTTCTAGGGTTGACTGAGAAAGAGATTTTTCTTTTCTATCTTCGACTTCATCCTGACAGCCAACATGGATGTCCTGAGCGCCATGGAGCACATTTGAGTGTTATTACATAGCATAGGCATTATTCATGTATACCTGCGATGTGAGTAGAAACTTGGCCAGACGTTTCCCTTACATCTTACAAGTCTGTGTGCATTTTAAAGCGGACCTTCAGTTTCTTTTTTAAAGTTCCTCTTTTTGGAATTTACTCACTCTCATATAAAACACTTGAATATAAAAATGAAATGTTTGGGATCTCCAAATAGCTTTTTTGTTTTAAATAGCCCTTGTAATGGAACCGACCCAGACTGCACTTGAGTACTTCCGTTAGACTACCGCTTCCCCGTCCAAACACCGACAACAGACACCACACCCGACCAAACAAGACTAGACGACACCAGTCTTGAAGTAAACCAGGAGGTAGACTACTTTATTTGAACACAGATACATGATATATACACTCAGGAGACAGTCCCCCCTCCCTGCATAATGACACAGGGCGGGACAATCTACAGTTAGTAACAATAGACACACAGGTATTCAAACTTCACACCAGCAGACAGTCCCATCAGGGGAGGGAGGGCTGCTGGAGACCCCCCACTAATCTAATACACATAAACACATCCCATAATAGTTTGCTCCCAAGCCAGACAGAGAATAGAACAATGGGATGCAACCACATAACATTAAACAATCAACAACCCCTCACCCCACCTATCTCCTAAACATGTCTACACAGTCTGAGACAAAGCCCACACAATATTAGGACAGATCACCCTGTACCCCTAACAGGCACAGGGTGATTTACACATAAGAGGGATATGGGGAGCTGAGACAGGGGTCTCCTCACCTCTCCAAAGTGAGCTGGGTTCCATGGGCCCCCCCACCCAAAGTGACTCCTGTCACAGCCCTGGTTTACTTTTTCCTTCATTCACAAATGACATAGGGCTCAACTCCTGGGATATCAGGATCCTAAATCCAAGGAGTCCTTGGGCCTCCTTGTTTTTTTTTTGTTATCGTGAGATTTCTTTTGTTGTGAGGGCAGGGGAGGGTGGAGGTGGCATGTCTACATAAAAGGAAGAGTAAGCTGAACTTCCACTGCCACTGCTATTGCTATGGCTGCTTGTATACAAAGGACTAGACAAGCTGTGTCCTTAGCACGGAGGAACGTGATTTAGCAGCGCATCATGGGGTTGAAGAGACTGTATTCCCCAGAAAAGGACAGGCCCTGGCTTCAGCTGCCAATAGTTATAATGGCTGAAGTCAGAAATAGGGTGAGTACTGTAATATAAACATTTTAACATGAAAAACCACATCATTTTTACAAATGAAGAAGCTAAACACAATGCATGATCTCTTAACATGCTGCAGGTATTCTTTTTTTTAATTTATGAGCTTTGACTGAAGTTCCTATTAAAGCTGATCACATAGGTAACAGTATATTTGTATAATCTCCTTTAATGTTATCAACTACATAGTAAGAGAGCCTGCCTGAACAATCCATTCAATTTATAGGACAAAAAAAAGCTCTAACTAAAATGGTAAGCCCAGTGTAAATTTCCTTTAATTTTTATATATCCATTATAATGTAACCCATTTAAAAGGTTTATATAGCAAGAGGCAGAACCAGAAGCAGATCTGGAAACTAAAACAGAGATCCATTTGCATGTGTCTTTACATCAGTGGATTTGTATTACCATCCAATATACTGATACATGTTGATATAAGATTCATACATACATACAATTGCTGGCCAAAAGCTACTGGGGAGGCGTCAATAAGTCGGGTTATAAAAGGCTTTCTCAATTGTTACTCTTCATGCTCGATATAAGCAGTGTTGACAGAGACTTTCCATGCTCTTATTACCCTGTGCACTGACAGACGCTGACCTCCTCCCACACCGCTTATTGATGGCGTTCACTATAATGTCTGATGGCATTTAGATTGTGACTGCACATCCAACTGTACTTCAATGTCTATGGGCAGCTTAAAGCACCAATACACATGAGGTGATTATTCCCCATTCCAGCCACGTCTTTAGGTTCTCCCTAACACCATGCTGCTTTCTATGGAATAGTCAAATAGGTCAGGTTAAACTACTGTTTCCCAAAGACAAGCAGTCCCAACATTTTTTTGGTCAACCAGTGGGTCGCATGAAAAAACAAAATGACCCATCTCCCCCATCCACACATTAGAGGTTGATGGGGGGGATCCTCCCTCTAAGCTATTGTATTCTGACAGCAGGAAGTCTTCCCTGCCATCAGAATTCACTGATCAGCTTATTGCAGGCTATAGCCTGAAGCACTGATTGAGTGGCAAAAATCTAACAGGGTGGTTGTACAGAAGTCAATTGGTAGATTGACTTCTGCACAACCTACTGAACCAGCTAAATTTTGATCCATGTATGGCCAGCTTAACAATGTGCACCATGGGTTCTCAGTTCCTCGCACCTCCTATCTATATTTACAGTCAGCCTGTAAACAGTTAACATAGCCTGACCATCATACCTGCAGAAGAACACCACTAAACATGAATGGTAGCCTTTGAAGTAGAACTGTAAACATTACCGTTTGATAACATTTGGGTCTGTACAGAGAAACATTTGCACTGTGCTCTGACAACAGTTCACCACTCAATGCGTACACAGTTGCTATGTACCTATAAGGTGCCTCTACCAACAAGATTGAATGTAAGAGTATACTGAGCTGGTTCATTGGAAAAAAAACATGCTTTGTAGATCTTAGATGCAATAAACCAGACCGTCTTAATGTCTTTCATCATCTAAAGATTTTTTAACTCTTACGTCCAATGCAGAAAAGTACAGGGTGCAACTGTGTATGTTTGAGCTTCAAGTGGACCTGTGTTCAATGGAAAACTGCTGAACTGCAACCTGACATAGAGTGCAAGAGCTTCATGATGTCCACAAATATGTTCACATACAAAAGCACAAGGTCCTCTAATAAACAATAAAAAGCTTCAAGAATGAAGTCAAGCTTAGCTTTGTTCCTTTACCATCTGCCTCTCTACTAATGGTTCATTCCTAAGGCTGGGAATACTTTAGTAGATTCTGAATAAGTGTTCACACAAATATTCATACGAACAGTCGTACAAAAATTCTCAGTACATTCAACAACTGGACAAATGGTATTCAAAAGTATTCCAGTATATATATATATATATATATATATAATCTTATTGCAGGCTATAGCCTGAAGCACTGATTGAGTGCCAAAAATCTAACAGGGTGGTTGTACAGAAGTCAATTGGCAGATTGACGTCTGTACAACCTGCTAAACCAGCCAAAATTTGATCCATGTATGACCAACTTAACAACGTGC